TTTTTGCTTGGCCTGTCCTTCTGTACACCTGCCTTGTCTCCTGTTGGGCAGGAGTCAGCCTCCTGGCACTGTAGTTGTGGCACACTTGGTGTGGGACTCAAGAGGCCATCTGTAAGTTCTCTAGATAGCAATGTAACTGGTGCTTGTGTGTGTGTATGTATGTGAACACAGAGTTCATGTGCTGTACCATTTTCTAATGCTCCTCTGTAATTATGTACAGAAATGAACGATAAGATTTTCAGCCATCATATTCTTTATGGATGAAAACATAAACATACAAATTATTTTTCAAAATTATGTCATATTTATAATATGCAGCTATGAAATAACTAATTGCATTCTAGAAACCATGTGTAATTACATGAACTCTCCTTAGTTAATCGTGCATAGATTTTGTGAAGTTATGTCCTATCACGGAATGTTTGTTGTGATAAGTAATATTAGAAAGGTGGTTATGCAGTTTGGAGTCTTCTAGAGTATAGTAGGTGGTAGTAATTCTAACTTTTAGAAAACAGTTTATTACTAGCTGGCTGGCTGATATTTTCAACATATGTTTGTCTTTTCTGTACTGTGGGATATTTAATTTGCTTTTTTATTTTTCTTTGTAGCTTAAATATTTAGTAAATACGATAAAATTACAATTAATGTTGTAGAATTTCTGCTAACAAATGTAAGGGAATAAACACTTGTTTCATCTTTGTATGAATAGGTTGATATGAACTTCATGAGGAAAATTCCTACAGGAGCAGAAGCATCAAATGTGTTAGTGGGAGAAGTAGATTTTTTAGAAAGACCTATTATTGCTTTTGTGAGGCTCTCCCCTGCTGTGCTTCTCTCAGGTCTCACAGAGGTTCCAGTTCCTACACGGTAAATAAATGCCTGGAAAATCTGGCTTTACTTATAAGATGATAATATTTAAGATCTCAAGTAGTTGTAAACTTTTATACATACTCTGTTAAGCTCAAGAAATGTAGACTTTTGTTTAACCTGATGCCAGTCACTTGCTGAAATATTTGAAGGAATGAGATCCGCCATAGAAGTCTCTGAATGCTTTAAATATATGTAATGATGCTGTCTTAAGCAAGTGTAGAAGTTGAAACTTGCAGCTCACCTGGAGTAAAAGCAGTGAGTCTTCCAAGCTTGTGTTCCATTTTAAAGAGGGTCATGAGGATTGTTAGAGTTCCCTTCAGCACAACACAGTGTGACAGTGAAGAGTCCGTTAAGTCTGAAAGTCCATCTCATCTGAAGCTCTGCTCTTTATATACAAATATGCTGTAAATAAATAACCTAGATGGTGGAAAAATTTACTTATTTTAATTATATGCCCAAATCTACATGATTGATACTGGGCTAACCAATCTGCAGCTAATACATTTAATCAGTTTTCAGTCTGCAATATGCCATCCAGCCTGGTGCACCCTCCCCCATGCCCCCAAAACCATGGGTCTCACTGTGGGTGTATTTATCATGGAGGATCAAAATGTAAAAATGCAGGTCCAGTCCATGCATACCGCAAGTCATTTCATCAGTCATCATGGAGAACACTTCATTTTCTGTGCACATTGATGTATTGGGCTGTTCTGTGGTGTTTGGCATAAATTTGTACATTTATGCTTTTTTGGTGGTGTTTTTTAATGTTTTGAAAGTGATCAAAGTGCCTGTTTATCTTTGTAATTTTCATCTTATATATACTCTAATGAAAGGCAAAAATAATCTTGGCAGTGTTCTTATAAATAGATGTGAGAGTTTTCAGAGGGTAGTTTATGTTAATGCTCGTAATGTTTCTTGGGAAATTCCAAAACTTCTGCATACAGATTATGGTATTAATGTAGCTAAAATTATCCTGTCCTAAATTTTTCAGAATGGTGGTGGCTTGCAGATTTGGAATAGCATAATTGATTCTGAAGATGCAATCTTGGTTTCAGTCAGGCTAGTCAACTTGTAAAGGAAAGATAACATTGAGCTTTGTTATTGAGTTTTGAGGTGAAAGAAGACATTACTTTTTTCAAATGTGTTGTGCTTGGGAACTTCGTTTTCATGGAGTATAGGAAGAAGGTTGTGAAAACAGTTACTGGGGCTCACTCTTTGGTTTGCATCCCTTTGAATTTATAAGATATGAGTCCTGTTCAAGTTCTTTTTTTTTAAAAAAAAAAAAAAGTAGTGGGATAACTATTATTGTCATTGGAAATAGAGACTGACGGTTAACATATGCTGTGACCCACCCGCTGATTGGATTCCCTTCCCAAAATGTTACTTTTACCTTCTTAGGTGTTGAGAATGGAGGTTCCCTTCCTTTCCAGTGACACAGGACAGGGATGTGCCTGTATAAGTATGTCCACTGTGTTGCTTGAAGTATATCTGTGCAATGAGGAAATAGTCATTGAGCTCTAGCCTGTAGATTTCTACTACATTTACCTCATTATAAGAAGTTGAAAAATTAGGCTTAATTAAGAACATTTCAGAGTAACTTTTGGTTCAGGATTCCAGTTCCTTCCAGTAATGACTTTTTGAGGAGAGTCTTTTCTTAGTCATGCAGCAGTCCTTAAGACTTGAAATGGTGAAGGAATTTCTACTTCACCGCTAAATTTTCTTTAAACATTAGTTCGAAAGAGCCCTCTGAGTACATTCCAGTGAGTCAGCCGTATTCATCTTGATTGCTTTCTCCACAGCTTTTTGTTTTTGTTGCTGGGACCAGCAGGAAAAGCTCCACAGTACCATGAAATTGGAAGATCAATAGCAACACTCATGACAGATGATGTGAGTGATGTATTTTAAAGAAATCTAGAATAATGTATTTACTGACTGATCTCAATAAATGTATTCCAGAGTGACAGGTTAAAGAAAAAAAGCAAAAACATGGTTAAATGAAGAGCTGTAAACTTATTTATTTCGTGTGTTAGTGAACTAGATAATGGTAAATTAACTTTCTGCCTTGTCTTTCTTGAAGCAATCCTCAATCTGTTTGTGAAAAAATATTTTAGCTTTGGTGTATATATTTCATTTTTGTAATAAATTAGGAAATAGAGCTATTAAATAGAACTGCATCTAATATGAGTCACTGTATATCAAAAAGGACACTGCCAACTGCGTAAGTGTTCAGGACAGAAAACTTAAGAGTGCGTGTGATCGAGTCATCACAGATTTATTTTTTTTTTTAATCAAAGCAAGGTCAAATAATTTAAATTAGAATTTTATTAGCTGTTTGAAGTCATATGTTTAGAGCTGTGATGGATGGTTTTAAAGAGCACAGGGGAATCCAGACTTTTTACGACTATAGTCATCTTCATGAGGAAAATGAGGGTGTTTTAATTCTGACTTCGCATTGAGCGCCACCTACTGAATTGCTGGTAGTTATTATGGTTATCTGGCAGAATTTCTAATTGTGTTTTAGTCTAGAACAATTTAAGTTTGGAAATGTAAACCAGAAATCAGTCATTTTACAGTTGGGCAACCAGTCTGAATTTATTCATTGTGAGAAGTGAACATTAAAAGCTTTAGTTGCAGCTTATAATTTTTTAGGTAAGCTGATTTTTAGGAATATTGTAGATCATTGAAATAGAAAAATTCAAAATTTTAAGTGGTCTAAAAAGACCTAAATAGGCTCAAAATGTCTAATTTAAAATTAGAAGACTTAATGGTCAGGTCTTTGTAGACAAACAGTTCAGGTTTCAAATGTACAGAAGCAATTTAGGATAGTCTTCTGCAAACAGTTTTTTTAATAGCAAATTTAGCAGGTTTTTTTCCTCTGTATAAAATGCAACTTGGGATTCAGGGATTGTTTTGTTTAAATACTACCTGTTTGTCATTTCAGAGTTTGTGTTGTAGTAGTCTGTAAAACAGCATAGGGTTGGGGATTTTTTGAGTAGTAGTAGGATTGCTGCTGTGTGCTTTTTAAGAAATCTTTCAAAATTAATTGTTAGAGGTATACAAATGAAGTTCTTATTCTTAATTAAAACTTGTATTTTGGGTTGAAGGTTACTTAGAGTATTTTTGTCCTGATTTAGCAGAGCATAGTGGCACAGTGGCTGTAGGGCAGAATTATTCAGACTATAGTACATGAACTTGATTTACTGAATATTGAAGATTAACTTTTTAATTAAATTTAGAAATGAACTCAATATTCCTTTTGACTTTGGAGAGATAACTTCCTTATTTTATGTTCCATAGGGGTGTGCATATCAGTAGTTCTTAATGCAAAAGTGTGCAAGCAAAGTAAAAGCCTAACTTTTGAGGACCTTTTAAAAATGTCTTATTTCTTATTCTTATTTCTTTTTAAAAATAATAGTGTCCCTTGTAATGAATTCCTCTTTCAAAAAAAAAAAAAAAAGTTGGGTACTTTCTTCTTGTAGGTTTTCCATGATGTTGCCTATAAAGCAAAAGACCGAAATGATTTGTTGTCAGGAATTGATGAATTTTTAGACCAAGTGACAGTCCTGCCTCCAGGAGAATGGGATCCATCTATACGAATTGAGCCACCAAAAAGTGTTCCTTCCCAGGTAAAAGGAAAAAAAAAAAAAAGTCCAATAGAGGACTCGCATGACTTTTTACTTTGAAAATGCTATTTCCCAATGCAAGTAAATTGGGTGCTGAGTATGAACTTTGGTAAAACATTAGGAAAGCACTCATGCTTCTTTGAAAGAAAAAGTGGATTGACCATTTAAGTAAAAAAAAAAAAAAAGTGTTGGATCAGTTTCCTGCTATGCTTTCCAGTAAATTGTATTTACTACATACATTTCCTTTTGTAATACGGAAATGAGTTCATGTGAAATCTAGGAGAATTAATTTGAAATTGTACCCGAGTTCCTATTATAAATTTTATTATTATTCTAACAATGATCAGCAAGAATATTGTAATTATTATAAAAACTTCTATTTGATTGATTTGAACATTGATTGAAATGTTTTAATGTATGTTGGCTCACATATAATGTTTACAGAATATTTCTGAAATAGATAAAAATGGATCATATTGCACAGTTGTGATACAAGCGTAGAAGGAGAGCCAAGGGGAAGCTGGACCTTAGAGGGACTCTGATTTCTTCCCTTTTCTCCCTCTTTACAACTGAGGGGAATTTCTGCCACCAGGATCAAAAGTGGGGAAGAGAGACCAGTGCTCTTGGTTCAGAAGGTTGATGTTGTGGTGGTTTGGGGCAGCGGGTGGAATGGAAGGGGTGACAGCAGTGCAGCTTATTCATGAATAACCTGAGGCTACCACTTAACTCCTTTCCAAAATAAGCAAGGCCTGGGGGGTTTTGGAAGGCAGCTCAGCTGAGAAATCTGTGAGGAGCTGGTGAGCAGCTTGCTCAATAGGAGAATGACTTCTCATTTATACTTCAACTAAATAAATAAAGTGAGGTCAGTTTCTGTTAGAAGCTAGAATCTTCTGCTCTGGAAATGAATAAGGAAAAAAAACATCTAAAGATTGTTTTCTAGGCCTCATGGTTGAGCCTCTACTATCTCTTGAAAAAAGGTAGGCTTTGTTTCATCATGTCTCAGGGACATATTTCTTGTAGAAAGAGGGGAAGAAGAATACTGTTGAGCAAGGTGCTAGTAAGAGCTTTTTTTGGGATTGTTGTACAGTGCTAGTCATCTGTACTCAAAGAATGGCCTGCTGATAAACTGGGAATATGAAAATGGTTTGGAAAGCATAGAGTCTCTGTCTGCTGTCTTTGAATTATACTTTTTAGTGTAAAGGCAGTCTCAAAGTATGACTTTTTTTCTTTTTTTTTTTCTTTTCCTTCTTTTCTTCTCCCACCGTAGGAGAAAAGGAAGGTACCTAAATTTCCAAATGGATCTACTCCTACAGGAGAGACTCTCAAAGAAGAAGGCCATCATGCTGGACCTGAACTTGAGAGAACTGGAAGGTGTGTTCACTTCCCTAAATACTAGCTACCAAAGAGAAATAAAAGTGATAAATCTTTTACAGTTTTTAATGATGACATTTAAACGTAAAAAAATCATGGTAGAAGTGTCAGAGCGCATCCTTTTTCCTTTTCAAGTGTTGGATTCTTGCCTATAAATGCCAGTCTGCTTAAAGCATTTTCAAGCCTGTGGCAATGTTTCTCAACACGTTTGCGAAGGATTTCATATAAGATGCTGCCTAATTTAACTAACTGACTTTTAAGAGTTGGGTTTTAATTTTTAATTGTCAAGAGCATGCAATTATCATAATTATAGCAGGAATATACAATTTTCAGCGTTGGGCTAGGTACTAAAAATTTCCATTAATGCAAATCTGTTTTATTAAATGTGTACAACATGGAGCAACAAGGAATATAAAACAGCAAAAAAATACTTTGGTATTGGTTAGGTTTCAGGTTTGGTTAGGTTTCTTTTAGATCGAAAACAAAACTGGAGGAATTTCTTTCAATTGAGTTGCATTGTTGTTCTCTCTTAATTTTGAAATGCTTGCCAAAAAAGTCCCCAACATTGGAAATACATGGTTAAGATTAAACCTTCGTATCTCATATGAGAGAGTAGAGATTAAATCAACTGAGGAATTCTGGAAAAGATGTACAATGTTGTTATCTCCAAAATGATAAACTTCCCAAATGAAATGCATCTTTCTCGTACTACTACATTTGTATTGATTTTTACCATTTTGGCTTTGTTATACTTACTTTTTGCAGACAGTATGTGGAGCTAAGAAGTTCATTTCTGCCCACAGAATTATTTCTAGATGAGACTATTGTTTTTCTCAGGAATGGATTTTCTTTTCTTTTTTTTTTAAGCTTTCAAAATGAAATCAATTTTTTGTAGGTGCAAATTATACCTAGTATTTTGAAGTCTTGAAAACTTTTTTGGACTCTGCCAAAAGCTTTTTAATTTCTTGCTAATAACTTACCAGTTTAACTGATTTATATATGTTTGGGTTTGTATTTCCATTTGTGGAATATCTCTATACTCTGGGTGAAAACACTGTTAAAAATGATAGACCTAAACTTATTTATTGACCTAACCATATGTGTGTAGAGAATGCAAATAAAAAAGCTACAACTACTTGTTGGAGTAGTAATATTTAGCATATTTCTTCTGTTCCTTGTTTTGAATATGATAAGACAGATTTGACTTTAAACATTATTTAGGTAAAATTGTTTGCAAAGATATTTTTTCAGTATCTAGCCTATATACAAAAATACCTAGCCAGCTTTTAAAAATGTGGATAACTTGTTTGATTGTATTTGGAATACTACTGAATTGGAATAGATAAGATTTTCATTTACATTTTAAACTGTTATAGTTTAATCTGGATTATGAAATAGCTAATTTGTGCTGGCAATAGGCACTGGCAGTCATGTGTAGCCCATAGTTTTGAACTAGCTAGAATCCTTTAGTGTACAGTTTGACGAGTTTCATCTCACCTATTTAGGCTTTTTGGTGGTTTGATACTTGACATCAAAAGGAAAGCACCTTTTTTCTTGAGTGACTTCAAGGATGCATTAAGCCTGCAGTGCCTGGCCTCGATTCTTTTCCTATACTGTGCCTGTATGTCTCCTGTAATCACTTTTGGAGGGCTCCTGGGAGAAGCTACACAAGGCAGAATAGTGAGTACAAAGAATGGTAGTGGCCAGGCTTTTAGACCTTCAGAGGCAAGTCACTGTGTGCATTTGTCTCATTTATTTATACTTGTATTTGAAGAATTTACCCACAGCACTTGATTAGCCTGCCCCAAAGCAGACCTTCCCCAAAAGGTAATTGCTGTGGAAAATGTGGGGAACCCATGTGAACAGGAGAAGATGCACAGTGGAGGTAAAAAAAAAATGTTTATCCTGCCTTACTGGATGAATGGCTTCATGAATTGAGAAAGGGCTTGCATTGCCTTCTTTTTGGCTACTTAAAAATAATGACTAGCAGTAAAGGTGCACCATCCCACTAGGCCTACTGTAGGCAAAGTCAGAGGCTCAAGGTGGATAGCCAAGAACATATACTGGCCTTGAGTAGTAGGCCTACGAGGATGATAATGCCTGCAGTGTATGGGTAGCAGTCAATTGTGTATTTAAGTAATGGACAGGATATGTATATGCTTTCACTAATGGTATGTTGTTAACAGTGAAAGAAAGTGGCTAAGGTTTATAAGCAGAAAATACTCTTCCTTGTAAAAGACTAGAGTATAAACCATACATGTACGAAATCTGGTAGTGTTATGTTGGGCAGTAGATAACACCAGCATCTTTTTAACCAAAATATCAGTGCACTTTGGGTTTTGGAGCAGGGAAAGAATTCTTAACATCAGCAATGTTAATAACTTAGTGTTTCTGTCAATTGGCTTGTGAGTAAACTAGTTTGAAGTGTATTTTCTGTTTTTAAATCTATTATGAAGAAACAAGGCTCTGTCATTTTGGGGGAGGGAAGGATCTATTCAGACATGTCCTTTACAAATTCTATGATCCTGGTAAAGCTTATGATGCTATAAAATTCTTCTTGATACTTAGATCAAGTTTTTAAGCTTCTACTATATTAAAATTAAGTTAACTATTTTCTCTCTTTCAAGTAATGCTGTTGACTCAAAATTTTGTTTATTGGTGTAACACTTCAAGATGATAGCAAATACAGAATTAAATTATATCTTTTCTGTGCACTGTTTTTGCCCCTCTAAATGTAGGAATGGTTATCAAAATGTTGATGTAATTTTTGAATGTACGTTGTGTATAATTATGAAAAAATGCTCCTTTTAAAGCTTGATTCTTAAACACCTTCTTTCTTTTAGCTATCTGGAATTGTTTGCGGGTTTGTTCCTGCCTTCAGATACTTGGTGTGCATCATTGAATGTAAAATTTAGTTACTACACACACATATTCAAGCACAGTAGCTGACATAGTAAGGTACACAGTTTGTGTTTGAAACCTTCCCTCACATTCCCAGAGGTCATCACTTCCACAGTACTCCCGTCCCTGCCACCCTGATCGAGAGCCCCAAGGTTAATGCATTGACTAACAAAAAGCACTAATTCAAAGGTAATAGAACAAGAGACTGGAATGATATAGATTATTTTTTTCTAATGTAATGAACAAAGGACTCATGTTTTCATTTTTAATAGCCCTAGTTCAGCAAACCATTTTGTCCAGTTTTAGATGCTTTCCTGAACTGGAGCTTAAGTTTGCATAAATATTGTTTTCTTAGGCTTGCATAATTGCAAAATAACAAACAATCAAATTCCCCCAGGAACCCTTTAATCTGTAGTCCATGACTTCTTATAGTTGTAAAAGGTGTAGTTAAGTATTTTCAAGTAACTTTAATAACATTTTAGTATCTAAAAAAACCCTGCTCCTCTCTTTTGAGGTGCATTGTAACTTTTTTAGCAGAAAATATTATAGTAAAACATTTAATTCAAGAACTGAAGTAGATCTCTTACTTCAATGAAAAGAAATGCATTACCAGGTGGGACATTGGTTTACTGCTCATCTATTTTTGGTGTCATGTATACATAAACCTATATCATTCAGTAGTTTCCCCTGCACCTCCACCTGTCAGTTTTTTCTTTTGTAATGCTTGGTTGACTGATGCAGGTTTGATACGGCACACCGTATCATGTTTTGGTACAGGTATGTTGCAATGTATATATATCAGTTTTCTTTGCAGAGACAAATAATTCTTTCCATGAATTACATGTTGAGTAACTTTTGTTGTTTAAATTTGTAGTAATTGTTGATATGTTTTCCCTCCATAGCTAGCAGGACTAGTAACTTGTTCTCATGATTTTGGATGGCTTTATGTTTCTCAGGAGTGAAGTTTTCAAAATCTTTTGTCCATGGTATTGTTACTGCAAAACTGTGTTGTTATTCTTGTCTCAAACATCAATATTAATTGCAATGTTTTTACATCTTGTCTTGTTAATGCATCTTAAAACTGTATTTATGCAGATGTGATGCCAAACGCTAACCTGAAAGGCAGCATAGTTACAGCAGTTTCTTTTCCCCCAAACAGAGTGCAATAGAGTCTCTCTTTGGAGCCTCATTAACTGGGATTGCCTATTCTCTCTTTGCTGGGCAACCTCTTACTATTTTGGGGAGCACCGGACCAGTTCTAGTATTTGAAAAAATATTATTTAAATTTTGCAGGTAAGTGATGTTTGTATTAGCTTGATGCACTTTCTAACTTTCTAGACTGTTAGAATAGCTGTAATTGAAAGCAGATGTGTGTTAAAAGTGGATGTCCATGAAGATGTAAACGCAGCAGTAAGACTTAAGAGATGGATGTGGTTTGGCAAAGCTATGAGGCACTGGTGCACCTTAATCAGAAAATCAGGGATAAGAAGTAGCTAGGAATTAAATAAAAGTTATGTTCTGACTGTGTGGAGATGTTGGCTTTGATTCTGCAGGGGTAAACAGGGATCGATCTGCCCTCTAGGAGAAAACACCTAGAAAAGATCTAGAAAAGATCAGAACCTAGAAAAGGTTCTGAAAAGATCATCACCGTGATGCTTCTTAAGCTAGGTAGTTGCACCTTTTGATCCTAGAAACACCTTACAGTGTTGCTTTGCTTTGGTGTGGAAGATGAGACAGAAAGCTTCTGCTTCCTTCAGGACTAACATCAAGGATGAGAAAAGTGGTGAACACGTATAGAGCTTGGCCTCAGTATGTGTTTCAAATAGAATATAGTATAGGTGATTTCTGGCTCCGTTAATACTTTTGTTTCTTTCTTCACGCAGGGATTATGATCTTTCCTACCTCTCTCTGCGAACTAGCATTGGTCTGTGGACTGCATTTCTATGCATAGTGCTTGTAGCCACAGATGCCAGCAGCCTTGTGTGTTACATCACTCGATTTACTGAGGAAGCTTTTGCAGCGCTTATATGCATCATATTTATTTATGAGGCATTGGAAAAGCTTTTTCATTTGGGAGAAGTATATGCCTTCAATATGCACAATGATTTGGATAAACTGACTTTATATTCGTAAGTACCGAGTTTCTATCTGTTAGTGAAATATATGGGGAAAATGTTTATGGTATAGAGACATACCATTTACTAAACTGCAATGTGTGCCTCTCGGTGGAAGGGTAGGAGGAATGCTGGGGGTGGTACGGGTATGAGAAACCTCAGAAAAATGCTGTGGAATTGAATTTTCTGTGTTAGCTATGGGTGGTTGGGAAGGGTTGAGGGGCTGTGACAATGCCTGCTTTAATTGCAGATTTAGTAAAGGTCACCCTGGAGATTAAAGGAGTTCTGCCTTGATACTTCTAGGAATCACGATAGTTTCCTCCACTTGGGTGAGGATTATTTCCAGGTAGCTGAGGCATGGAGAGCTTTTGCAACTGTGGGGAGTGCTATATGGAGTGCTATGAATGGGGAGTTAACATCTGTAAACAGTGTTGCTTTCTACTGTAATTATGGGAAATACTTCAGTTTAAAAAAAATATTTTTTGAGAGAGAGGAGAATAATAGAAAATACAATACAGCCATATTTTTTTTCTTTCCTGACTAAGTAGAACTATTAGTTATACTCATCACAGTAACTAGGAGTAAAACTCTCAGTACAAAAATATCTTTATTTCATTTAAGGGATTAAATAAGCAAGCTATTTAGGTGTATCTTTCTTATATTTGATTTATTTCTGTGGCAGTTGTACATCATCTACCCATGGTGGGTTGACTTTGGCTGGACAGCAGGTGTCCACCAAGCTATTCAATCACTCCCCCTCCTCAGCTGGACAGGGGGAGAAAAACATGACAAAGGCTCGTGGGTTGAGATAAGGACAGGGAGATCACCCAGCAATTACTGTCATGGGCAAAACAGGCTCAACCTGGGGAAATGAATTTAATTTATTACCAATCAAATCAGAGTAGGGTAATTAGAAAATAAAAACTAAATCTTAAAACACCTTCCCCCCATCCCTCCCTTCTTCCCGGACTCAGCTTTGCTCCTGATTTCTCTTTACCTCCTCCCCTGAGTGGCACAGGGAGACGGGGAATGGGGTTTCTGGTCAGTTCATCACACACATGTTGTCTCTGCTGCTCCTTTTTTATCAGGGGGAGAATTCCTCACACTCTTCCCCTGCTCCAGCAGGTGCTCCAATTGCACCCCCACCAATATTTACCCTCCAGCCCCAGACGTGTGGGTTAGTCACACACCATCTTTGAGGAGCACGGGTTTCTCTGCTAGTGTTCCTGTCCTGTTGCGGATGTGTGTTCTCCAGCTTTATTTGTACCTGTGTGCTTCTCTGTAAGCTGCTAAGTCACATGCTGGTGAGAGAGCCCCTTTGCAAGGTCGCGTCCATACACCTGAGGTGGGAGTCTCTACTTGTTGAACCCTGGAGCCAGTCCCTAGCGGGAGGACAGACTACTCACCATCTTGCTGGGCAGTTGCTCTGCCTGGGCGAGGCAGAGATCACGATGCGTGCAGGGTGACTTCTGGCAGCATCCAACCATGTTTTGATTATTGTGTTTCCACTCCAAGATCTCTCCTTACTTTTACAAACATCCATGCTTCTTTGGTACTTCCTTTCAGGATGATTCATTCTCCCCCAAAAAAGTCTTTTTGTAGTTCCTTTGTTATTATTTAGTCCAGCTGATAATCATCATCATCTTCAATGTGATCATTTTTGGGCAAACACCTTCTCAGACTGCTTCTTGTACTCAATTCACATAGGGCATTTACATCACTTTACTGTCGTTATCAGCTCTTAAGACCAGACCATGTTGCCAGGAGTGGACCGTGGGAATACGCTCAGTTCATAATTTCTCCCTTTCCCCTGGCTGCTATGTTTCAGTGGCTCTGGGACCTCACTACACTCCTGTGGGTGCATGTTAAATTCACTGATCTGGCAGAAACTGTGCTGTTGTTCCGTAGGTCTTCTGACCCTTGGCATCTGATTGTGTCTTGCTACACTAACATACAGAGGCCATGAGGGTGGAGTGAGGAAGGTGTGACATTTCCTTGGTTTCTTCTCCTGTTTCCTTTTGCTGTTACTTTAGGATTCAGTTATGAAAAGAAAGAATATTTCTTATTTTTTTAAGTGCCCTAAACATTGTCTTCTGCAAATCTAGAGTCTTTTTGCCCATGCACATTTAGTACTTTTTCCTTCTTTATGTTCACACCCTCAGGATGCAAGTTTGCCCTTTCATGGTGCTTTGTTTTTCAGTATCTTGGTGAATCTCATAATAAGCAAGAAATGTCTCCTTTTACTATCTGTTTCTCTTCTTTTACATAAATGTTTATATGTCAAGCTTATGGTTTGTTGTACTTGATTAGCTTTATTTGAAAACATCCCATTAAATCGATATTCAATGTGTTGTTTTTTTTTTTTTAACTGATGGGTACTTCCGTCAACCTGTCTGACAGAAAGGATTCTGCAGTCCGAGTTTGCAAACCACTGCAGTAGGGAGGAGCACTTTTACTTGTTCAAAAAGTTATTAAAAATGCATTTATGCAGTTGCTTTATATCTGAGTAATTTATGCATTTATATCTTCAGTTACCCCACTGCATACTCAAAAATTGTTTCTTACTTCAGGGTGACCAGTTTTGTTCATGTGTCGGTCAGAAGGCATGACAAATGCAAGATAAGTGGCTAACTACCAAAATTTTAGAAAAGACTCGGAAACTTCTAGAGGCTAATGACGTATCTGGTTTGAAAAGGAGTTGCTGAAACTGAGTCATCTTCATCAGTTTTTTAAATGAAACTATTTCAATCTGTTTTCTCTTACGTTGATGTACCGTAGGACTAACTGAAGTTTGACTCACTGTGCGATGTTATCTAAAAACCTTAATTTGTACACATAAAAATATTTGTGCCAAGTTAGTTGAATTATGTAGAAATCTTTAGAAATTACACAATATATGTTAGTATAGGGTTGTTGGAAAGTGGGGTCATTTGGATTATCATCTTCATCTTTAATTCACAATATATAGAAGTCCGCGCATGTTTTCTACTTCATTTTATTTTCAGGCATCATTCTACTTAAAAACTGGCAGATCAGTCAGATAGTTAAGTCAACATTTTTCCTGCTTCTAATTCTTTAAAATACATAGTTTGGGTTTTTTTGTTCAATCTGTTAAACCTTCTGAGCAGTTGCTTCTTCAATTCTTCTCCCCCACTTTTCCCTTTTCCCCGCCCACTAATCCTACTTCATGTCATGTAAGGACGAGCCTTGTATTCGTCTTCTTTCGTAGAAGGTTGGGATACATGCTGGTGTAAACTGTTCAGGATTTTTGAAATTGCTGCTTATTGCTGCGTTTTGGCACATACGGCTCAAAAGCATGTCAATTTTTTTCTTTTTCCCTTCACTTCAGATGCGTGTGTTCTGAGCCTGAGAAACCCAGCAACGAAACTTTGCAGGTGTGGAGTAGTATGAATAAGTCTGTAGAAGATATAGCATGGAGTAACCTTACAGTTTCTGTGAGTATCTGAAAGCACTATATGTGTGCGTATGTATTTATAAAAAAATAAATACCACCCGTTTCATCTGGTTTCTTTCTTGATTTGAACCTGGACTGTTTTGTTTAAAACTGCATTTTTGAACTCTTTTATTGTTCCCGTAATGCTTTAAACAGTCATTGTAGTGGTTTGAATGAGTGAGTCCGTGGCAGTAAATGCTAATATCATAAATGTCTGCTTGAGGTAGCTGCTTTAATCCTGTTAGGCAGAATAGTCATCTTTCTGAAGTGCAGATGAATATGATGAGGTGAACAAACAGGAGATTTCTTCCGTCAGTTTCCTGGAAGGGGTGAACAGATATTTTTAAAAAGATGTGAAGATGGAATCTGTAGTTAAAATGTGGTAGCAAACATGTTTCATTAGTTTGTTAGATGTTGGTATAAAACTCCAACACAATCAAAGATACTACCTAAATTTTTACTGGAAGAAAATAATTATTTGGAAAATTCAAGGTTAAAAGAAAAGGGGAAGAGCTGTTTGAAGGAATAGGCTTGAAAGCATTACCTTCTGAACTTGACATTTCATACTGAGACCTAATTTTGTGTGTAGGTGAAGAGGAGGAAAGTTACCATGTGGAAGTGGTACTGAAGGCTTTTAGGAAGAAAGACTTTTGCTGATTAGTTGTTCCTTGGATGGGATTCAGTTGCATAAATGCAGCTGTCTACAGCTACTGTGCATAAACTGGCATCTGGTTTCCACCTACATCTTGAATGATTTGGATCTGCTATAGATTTTGTGTTGTGTTTGCTAGCTCTGTGTGCCTACTTTGGCCATCTCAGGCTATCTAAAATGGTCGTAGATATCTGGGTATGGACTCGCCTTGCGTCTGAGCCTAGATGTTAACGCTGAAAGTAGGTGTTTTGCACAGCAAAAATACTTCTGAAAAACCTAAGTTCTTTACTCGCATTTTAGCTGCAGTGTTTTCTATGTGCCGTTAATGGCTCCTAGTCTGCCATAATCACTTAGGATGGCAGTGTCTCTTGAACTTAGTTTTTATATTTATTTTATATACCTTTTCATTCTCTTAAGCGTCTTTAGTCTTCCCAGAGAGACAGAACTGATCCAGGATTTGGTCGTGCTTATAATCAAAGTAGATTGTTAACAGGGAGAACTTCTGTCATGAGTTAAATTTCCGATAAGTTAACCTATTTAGAGGCAAGGTTGTTGCAGTGCTGCTTCCAACTCTTCGGTTTATTGGCTTGTTATTTCCTTGTACTCCATGTGTCTACTTTAATTCTTTACTTTTCATATCAGTAAGCCTTTCAGGTAGGGATTGTCTGACTTTGTTTTCTTTTTTATTCAAATCCATTATTTACAATGCTTTTCTATTCTGCTAGAAACTTTTTTTTCTTACAGTGGGATTAATCTAATTTTGTAAGATCTGTTTTTTCCTTAACTGTATCAGGACAAAACAAAGTCAAGAATAAAAAGGTGGGAGAAACTGAGGAGATCCTTTTTTATGTTTGTTAGCTTGAAAGTTGATGTTGGATAGTCTGCTGGATAGACTGGGCTTAGTCCTCAGTCTTTATTTATACATTCAATCTTGTGGTGCTTTGAGAAATAGAATAGAAATGATGTGAATGTAAAGTAGTTGTTTCTTCTGAGGCATCTCCCAGCATTTTGTCATCCTGAAATATTGTCATGGCTACTGTGGCTCTTCTGGAACAGACAGCACACATGTTTGGCATTTCAGGATGAGGTAGTGATGAAGGAAAGGACCCCCTTTTTGGGATTGTGAAAGTTCTCAAATGTGTTTTATACTGAAAAGCTGCAAGTTAGTTTGACTGTACTAAATGAATAAAACGTAGAAATTTAAGGAGTCTTTCTCTTTGCAGGAATGTTTAGAATTTCATGGTGTGTTTCGTGGATCAGCTTGTGGCCATCATGGACCATATATTCCAGATGTTCTCTTCTGGTCTGTCATATTATTCTTTACAACATTTTTCCTCTCCTCTTTCCTTAAGCAATTCAAGACCAAACGTTATTTCCCAACTAAGGTAATTCAGATTAGAGACTATTGTTATCTTGTGGTAAATACATCAATGTAACTTAATGGAGTTGAATTTCCTGTTTTGCCTCACAACTTTGAGAGATTTCTTTTAAGACAGAAAAATTTAAAATGGAAAATTAGCCAATAGTTAAAAAAATGAAGACATTAGATGAAAGAAATTGGCTTTAGAAAAGTCAGCATTTATTCTCTACTTTCCTGTAGTTACAACAAGATGTCCATCCTAAACAGTCCATCTCCCCATACTAATGGGTATTGCCAGGTATCATTTGGAGAGATAATACTGCTGCTGTTTTCCTCTCCTAGCCATACAGAACAATTAATTGCTTTCCCCAAACTGCTGACGTATGAAGGGTTCTGAGCGGTTCCTCAGGGGATTACTGTTTCTCGTAGAGGCTAATATAATGATTATCCTTGGACTGATTTACACAACTTACTCCTGCTAGCCAAAATAAAGTGGTTAGATCTATAAACCTCAGCTCATCTCTACAATGTGTTCCTAATATTTAATAAAGTCACCTTTGAGAACCTGAATGTGTTGCAAATTATGCCCCTCTAATCTATTAAAATGTCAAATGATTGAATATTGATTTCGGAACAATTCAGTGATGTTATTGAATTAGGCTACAAGAGACTGGCTGTGATGACCCAGCCTCCTGGTAGGATTGAGGGGATGGGAAGATGAGGAAGGCGTTATTTTAAGTAATTTGATTCTTGTGGTAGATAACTTCTGAATGAGATAATAAGATGAACAGTTGTATAGAATACTTACCTTCTGCAACTTCATGATATGCTGGCAGGCAGTTTAAATTTTAAAATAAAAGAGAAAATTGTATATATATTCAGTGGTATAGTATAGTGTAGTATAGTATAAATAGACTTCACTATTCATAGGGAGAAAATTGTTTTTCTGTACATGCAAATTATAATGATGAAAAAGCAAGAGTTAACACAAGTCTTTTCTTTATAGGTACGTTCTACCATCAGTGACTTTGCAGTGTTTCTGACCATAGTAATCATGGTTTTGATTGACTATCTTGTAGGAGTACCTTCTCCTAAGCTTCACGTTCCAGAGAAGTTTGAAGTAAGAAATACAACCTTTTGAAAAACTTAACTTTTTAAATGCTTGCAGTTTCATAGACAGTAGAACAACAGAATTGTGTAGAAACAGAAATTTATCTTTTTTACTTACAATGTAGTTGATGAAGTAATCTGTCCTTTCTGTTTTGGATGTGTATCTCATCTAATGGAAGAGGCTATGCCTTATATTCTAAAATCATTGGAAAGGAAGTATTCTTTTGTGCAAATGTGCACAAACGAAGGAATGGAATGGATTTGTGTTATTTTTTTCCATATAAATGTCACATTCACATGTAACACCTAAATTAGTCTTTTGGTCAAAGCCATTGGAAAAAAATCTAAGTGTATATTTGAGTCTGCTGATCTCTTCATTGCAGCTGTTTAGCAATAAAATCTGCATTTTATTTTAGTTCTTTAATTCTTATTGTTGATGTATGGTTTTTCAGCCCACCCGAAAAGACCGAGGATGGTTCATAGATCCTCTTGGAAGCAATCCTTGGTGGACGCTTTTGATAGCTGCTGTTCCTGCTTTACTCTGTACCATTCTTATTTTCATGGATCAACAAATAACAGCTGTTATTATAAACAGGAAAGAGCATAAGCTGAAGGTAAAAGTCATTTTCACAAAACTCTAATGTTGTGTAAGTCAAGTTTATTTAAATCGGATTCATTCCACAAGTCTGTGAAACGTTACCAACAGCTACTAAATAAATGTATGTACTGACTAATAACGAGCAAATATAATCTTGTGGACACTCACAAAGTATCTGACTTCTGTAGTTGCTGGTTATTTACCAGCTAAGTTATAAATATGGCATCAGATAAATAGAAAGTTTATCAAATGATTTGTTTGCTTAATCTTACAGAAAGGCTGTGGTTACCATCTTGATCTACTCATGGTTGGTGTTATGTTGGGGATATGTTCTATCATGGGCTTACCGTGGTTTGTTGCTGCAACTGTCCTGTCTATAAGTCATGTTAACAGCCTGAAAGTTGAATCTGAATGCTCAGCACCAGGAGAGCAACCAAAGTTTTTGGGAATCCGGGAGCAGCGAGTGACAGGATTGATGATTTTTGTCCTGATGGGGCTGTCGGTGTTCATGACCTCTGTGTTAAAGGTAAAGACAGTTTTTCTGAAATATCTGTATTTTCTTTGTGCTTTTGATTTTGATACTGTGATTTAGCATTTCATAATGTTAGGAAGTTTTATTAAGTAAAAGTATGCTTTGACTCATTCTCAAATTGTGTTTGGATAGTTGGGATAAAGATCTAAAGTTACTTGAGTGAAAGTAATATAATATGGCAGAATAAACAGAAATATCTGGTTTAAAAAGTGATCATCAGAAATTACATTCTTCACTTCTTGTTCTTATCTTCAGCTTATTAAACTTCCTTTGATCTTTAAAGTGCCAAGAGTATCTTATGCATGATCACAGTGTAACAGAGATTTTGCAGGTCATATTGCACCCTCAGTTTACACTCTGTCTCTTAGTGTATATCCATAGCGCCTGTCTGAAGACTGTCTTGGAAGAAAAACAATCAGTTCAGTTAGCTTTTTGCTCAGATTTTAATAAAATCCATTCAACTTCTGCTTTGTTGTTTCAAATCCAGTAGTTAAAAGGAGAAATGAAAAAGCTGTCTTTTTGTTGCCAAAATAGCAGATATGGCATAAATTGCATAATTGCTGACACCTTTAAAGAACTTTGTAAAAGTCTGTTTGAAGACAGATCACAAGTCATTTCACAAAAAGGTAGCTTCCAATGCTTGTTTAAGTTTAGATAATAAGAAACCTATGAAGGCACAGCTATAGTTTAGTAATTAGAACTACATATTATAAATTCTTAATAGTTGACCCTTTGTATGTGTTAAAGAATGTAAAGGTCTGAAAACAAAAGGCAGTAGCAGGTACTAAAAATGAGTATTCAGATTTGACAATCTCTGGTTGAAAAGCTACCAAGAGCTCAGCTGTATAACGCAGATGATCAGAATCAAAAGCAGAAATATTGAAATAGACTTATTGTTGCTCAAAAGCAAAAGATAAAGGTGCTGATTGCTGAAGCCAGATGCTTCCCCATGTTTTAACCGCTGATTCTTAGAAACTAATACTTTTATTTTTTTATGGAACCAAGGATAGTAGGAATAGGAATTATTACTATTTGCTTTTTATTAGATGTTTTTCTTTTTCAATGTGAATGGCTGTTGTTCAAAAGAAAGAAGGAGAACAAAGCCTTGCATCTGTAGGTTTCTACGCTTTTGTTCCCTATATGGATTTGTGCTGATTTAATGCGGTAGAAGTTAACATAAATGAAGTAATAGCATGTCAAATTACAGAGCTTACAGTGAAGACACTAGCTTTTATATATACACACACACATATACGCACATACATATATATGCAATAATGAATCCCTAAGGCATAGTTTTATTCCACACTATTTAAGTTTCACTGAAGGCTTTTGTTCAGGCTTGATAGCAGCAGTTTTTATGAAGATTTCGGATTGCATCTTGGCTGTCCTTTACTCAGAAGTTTCATGAATTCAGGAGCAAAGAAAGCTTCACTTGCTTTGTGTAGGCTGCAGAGGTTTGATGCAAGTGCCACTAAAATCAGTAGACAACTTCATTATCTTAGTAAGCTTTAAATTGATCTTCTTACTGGAGCAAAAATTAGCCCTGAATAATTAGCAGATTTTCATAGCTCAGTAGGTATGAGGGGATTTTTGTTTCATCTGCTCCAGAAATGCAAGATTAGTGATCAAAAAGTAAAACTTCATATGGCAATTTCATGAAGTTAACAGTCTCAGTACAGTTTCTATCAGATAGCAACATAAAGTACCATACTTAGCATTAATAGAAATCTTGGTTGCAACACAGAAGAGTGAATGAGTGGGCAGTCAAGATGGAACTACTTTTTAAATCTTGGTAATAGTCTTGTTAGCTCTAGATTTTTTTGCTGCTCAGTGATGCCTATATTTTCTCTGTAAATAAAACCCCTCAGCTTTAACAGATTTCACTTAAGTGAAATAGAAAGTAAAAAATAACTTGGTCCATGTCTTTCACTAATGTGGACTGCTATGTTATGCCGTGTTGATTCCTACAAGTAACTGTGTGGGTGTTTTTTCTTCCCCAGTTTATTCCAATGCCAGTTTTGTATGGTGTCTTTCTTTACATGGGAGTATCTTCATTAAAAGGCATTCAGGTACAGTCTGATTTTAACGAGCAATTTGCTTTTCACAGAATGGTAGGGATTGGAAGGGACCTTCAGAGATCATCTAGTCCAACCGCCCTACCAAAGCAGGTTCACCTAGAGCAGGTTGGACAGGATCACGTCCAGGCAGGTTTTGAGTATCTCCAGAGAAGGAGACTCCACAACCTCTCTGGGCAGCCTGTTCCAGTGCTCTGCCACCCTCAAAGTTTTTCCTCATGTTGAGGTGGAATTTCCTATGTTCTGGTTTGTGCCCGTTGCTCCTTGTCCTGTTGCTGGGCACCACTGAAAAGAGTCTGGCCCCATCCTCTTGACACCCACCAATTAGATATTTATAAGCATTGATAAGATCCCCTCTCAGTCTTCTCTTCTCCAGGCTAGACAGGCCCAGGTCTCTCAGCCTTTCCTCATAACAGAGATGCTCCAGTCCCTTGATCATCTTTGTAGCCTTCTGCTGGACTCTCCAGTAGTTCCCTGTCTTTGTTGAACTGGGGGGCCCAGAACTGGACACAGTACTCCAGATGTGGCCTCACCAGGGCAGAGTAGAAGGGGAGGATGACCTCCCTCGACCTCCTGCCCATGCTCTTTTTAATGCACCCCAGGATACCATTGGCCACAAGAGTACATTGCTGGCTCGTGGTCAACCAGGACTCCCAGGTCCCTCTCTGCAGAGCAGCTTTCCAGCAGGTCAACCCCTAACCTCTACTGCTGCATGGGGTTATTCCTCCCCAGGTGCAGGACCCTACACTTGCCCTTGCTGAACTTCATTAGGTTCCTCTCTGCCCAACTCTCCAGCCTGTCCAGGTCATGCTGAATGGCAGCACAGCCTTCTGGTGTGTTGGCCACTCCTCCCAGTTTTGTGTCATCAGCAAACTTGCTGAGGGTACACTCTGTCCCCTCATCCAGGTCATTGATGAATATGTTGAACAAGACTGAACCCAGTACTGACCCCCCGGGAACACCGCTAGTGACAGGCCTCCAACTAGACTCTGTGCTGCTGATCATAACCCTCTGAGCTCTGCCATTCAGCCAGTTCTCAGTCCACCTCACTGTCCAGTCATCTAACCAATACTTGATTGTTTAACCCTAAATGAGGAGGAAATTCTTAATACATTATGTGAGCAACAGTAAAGTTAGCTCGTATTGCCTGAGTAGTATGTAGGGTAATTTCCTGAGTGTCATGTTCAGATGGTTGTTCTTACCATATTGTGCCTTCACTTCTCAGTTCTCTTGCAGTTATTTTTTCAGTAGTGTAGCTGAGCAACAAATTTTCTGAAATACTCTGAAATTTTGTAGTAGTAATGAGAGGTGGGGAGGGGAGAACCCAACAAAACAAAACAGCCCCCAGCCCCACCCCCTTGAATGTTCGGTGTCCCTCATTAGTATTTTATTTGCGATTAACTTATGTTTCTGGAGTCCCCTGACAATGTTTATTTCCTTCTGGAAGGGATGAAAATAATTAACTGAAGGATGATTTTATTTTTCAATGCAGTTTTTTGACCGTATAAAACTGTTTGGAATGCCTGCCAAACATCAGCCCGACCTGATTTATCTACGTTATGTGCCACTCTGGAAGGTCCATATCTTTACAGTTGTTCAGCTCACTTGTCTAGTTCTGTTGTGGGTGATTAAAGCCTCTGCAGCTGCTGTTGTTTTCCCTATGATGGTAAGTTTTTTCGTTTACAAGTTAATAAATTTCCAAGATATGTGCATCGTCCAGGATCTCTTCAAAACGTATTTGGTGTCTTAAGAAAGAAGGGAGTGGGAAAGAAACAAAAGAAGCTGTAGTACTTCACTTCTGAAACACAAGGAATTTTTTCATTTCCTGAAAATAAGCAATTCAGTTGTGAATAGCTATTGAAAGTGGAAATTACTTAACTTCATGGTAAGATAAAACTATTACTATAAAAAAGGGCTTCAGTTAAAGATTCTGAATGTACTGAAACTGTGCGTGCATTTTTGTTCATTTAAATAGTTTAATATAAATTATTTCATTTATGGTTCCCTTAAGGTTCTAGCATTAGTGTTCATTCGCAAGCTCATGGATTTATGTTTCACCAAAAGAGAGCTTAGCTGGCTTGATGATCTTATGCCAGAAAGTAAAAAGAAGAAAGAAGATGACAAAAAGAAGAAAGAGAAAGCAGTAAGTGTGAAAACAATCAAACTAATCATGTTGTAAATTAGTAGAAAATACTCAGTGAGACTGAAAAGAATTTTTAGTGGCCTGAGCATATGACCTTAGATACCAAATATATATTTTAAGATTCTTTACTAATGAGATTTAATGCTAGAGGAACTATTACTGGCAACTAAGTTAAGGAAAAATCACTGTTTCAATGGTGCTGTTATGAACCACGACTCTTATTTGTGATTAAAATTAGCAAGCAAAGTGGAAAGAAGCAGTTTTTATCACAAAGTGTTGTATTCTTTGTCTTTCATCAGGTTAGAAGGAGAGAAATAGAAGAGGGAGAGAAAAGCAGTGGAGTAGGGATCTTAACCCTGCTTCAGTTCATCACAAAACTGTTCATAATATCAGGGAAATTTTGCTTGTGTGTGTTTGCAGAGCTGTAGTTAAAACAAACTGCTAATTACCAACAGTAATGTAAGATAGCGTGTGTAACTTCTCTGTAAAAGTCTTACCTAACTGTATACCAGCTAGCAGAATTCCTTACAAAACTTGTAACGCTCTCCTTCCCCACTCCTTCAACCCCCTTACCTAGATAAAACACTTCTAAGAAAAAAGGTTTTAAACTGTAGCTCTAGCATTCAACTCTAGTACCTACACAGAAATGCCCCTTACCTCTATGGAAATTAACTGTCATCATGAGATACTTCTTTGATATCTGTCGCATGAGTAATTTTATAAACTTTTTACTGGGAATTTACAGGAAGCAGAGAGAATGCTTCAGACAGGGGACAATGAAAGCGTACACCTTGCATATGGAGAAGCAAATTTGGATTTTCCTGTAAAAACACTAAAATACAGGTATAATAAAATGTTGGTCTTCTAAGAGTTTTTGTATCACATGCTGTACTTTGCTTTATATTAAATTGTTTGTGTGAGTTGACTTAATTTTTTTCCCAAGCTTGTAACTCAGCCATGATTAGGAAATGTGAAGATATATCTCATGGTGCTACAGTAGCATTTTTATGTTGCATTTTTCTTTAAAACTGCATCTTAATTATAAATTTACATGACCATCTTGAACAGATCAGATGACTCAATTTCGACCAGCTGTACTCAAGTTGAAGAAGCTTCCTTGGTCAGTTTTTGTGGAATACTTGTGTGTAACTGTGCATGAAATACTGAGTATTAAGTAACTAATAGCATCAGTTGAGCCATGTGTTTACCAGCCACTTGGATTTTTCAGAAAAAGTCTAAGTATGCAGTTCTTTGATGGTTTATTTAAGTGAGGGCTGAAGTCTATAATATCTGTGATATATAAAAAAAACAGGCAGCCATTTTTACTTTAAAAGGTCTGAAAGCAAATGTGAGGACAGGGGTACCAGTTCTCTTCCAGAAACAGAAGTACTGGAATTTCACTGGTGGAAAGTTCCTTCAGCACTGGAAGGTGTTTAGTCTCAGTATGTATGACCCATAGTGGTGATGTATTCAGCTTAGTTGTCAGGTATTAGAATCATTGAATGGTTTGGGTTGGAAGGGACCTTAAAGATCATCTAGTTCCAACCCCCCTACCCTGGGCAGGGACACCTCCCACTAGACCAGGTTGCTCAAAGCCCCATCCAACCTGGCCTTGAACACCTCCAGGGATGGGGCCTCCACAACTTCTTTGGGCAATTTGTTCCAGTTCCTCACCACTCTCATAGTGAAAAATGTCTACAGCCAGAAGGTGTGACAGATAAATAGCTTACCAGCTTTTTTGCTTCTCTGATACTGAAGGTTCCTAGGTTAAAAATTAGCTTTCCTATGGATCTAGGGTAGTGTGTAATGTCAGGTCTACCCTGATGTGAGTTGGCAACAGGCAGATTTTTGGATTAGACAGATATTCCTGTTGAGTGCTATTGTCTAATGAGCAGGCTTAATCAGATTTTAGCAATGCAAATGAAAATGCTAAATGCTAAAGCTTTTCAAAAAACACTTAAGTTGCTAAGCGCTCTCACAGTAGAACTATGATTTCATCAACTGTGTGCATGTGTGTTTACTGTATATTTCACCGTCTTGCATCTTGCGGCGATTCCTGATGAAAAATGGCTTTGAAAAACTTCTATGCAATTTGAAGAACTCTCACAGATATCCTTGGGTAGGTTCTGAAGTTTAAGTGTGGAACAGAACAGAAAGCATATCTACAGACAACACCAAAGTCTGCTGTATATGTCAATGTGTGGAGGGCAAAGGGGGAAATAAGTTTTGAAAGCTTACTGTCTATGAGGGCAAACTTACCTTCTGCAGGACTTGGGGGGATGGTGGCAGAAAAAACTTGAACAATGTCTAATAAGGCTCTGCAGGAAAAAAATAACTTGAAGTCTGTCTAGATAATTGGGACTGTTAGATTTTTACTAGTTTTAAATTTAAACAGAGTTAACCATTTTCAAAATTTTATTAATGTCTGGTCTTTTGCCCTTGATTATTTCCTGGAAACAACATAAAATAATTCTGATTTATGGAAGGCTTGGCAGAACAGTGTGATTAATTTCATTATTTCTGAGCATGCAAAAGAATTTTCTGAAGTTACAGGTAATCTAGAAATGAGATCTCTCTCAAATATTCTCAATGTCTTAGTGCTATCTATGTGAAAAGATGTTTTAAGATGCTATGTGATTAAGGTATTGCTAATTAGTTAAATTTTCAAATTTTTGTTGAAATACGTTTCTAAGAGATGAATTCAACTTGTGGCTGTGTAAATATTGAAAGAAGGCACAACTGATGTAAATGACGAGTGACAGTAAGTATAATGTTGTTGCAAGGTATTGAATACTAACCAGAAAGTATGTTTGTTCTTTAGCCTTGATCCCTCAGTTGTAAACATATCAGACGAAATGGCCAAAACTGCACAGTGGAAGGCTCTTGCCATGAGTACTGAGAATGCCAAAGTAACCAGAGCTAACCTGAGGTAGCTATAATTACTCACGCATTTGCTAACTATGGTCTTGTGTTTAGCAGCTAATAGCTGTACTTGTGTTCCTTGAAATGCATCTCAAAAAAGAAGAGTATATGTGGTTTATTAAGAATCTGCATTGACTTTTTACTTTTGAGGACCTTGAATTGGAACTTGTTTTTTTGTTCTTTACTCTGAAGTTAAACAATTTCTATAAGGAAGTCAAATATTTTGCTAAGTGTGTTATTACAATTTTAAAGTAACTCTTCATTTGCTTAATACAATTGTATGCTGCTCTGATGGGCTTAGGGTTTCTAAAAGCTTTACTAGAATGTATATGAGCATGGAAATTGTTTGATCCTGAACATTACCAGGGCCAGTGGGAATAAAAGGTAAGTCCAGCACTTTCATTGTTGCTTTATGCTGCCCTAGGGTCTGCCCCGTTTTTGTGGGTGGGTGGGTTGGTTTTTCCCCGGCTCATTGTTAATCTCTAAAAATTAAACTTCGCTCAAATATTATGTTCACTGGGTATGAAATATACTTTGAATGAAGTACTGGACAGATTAGGAGTCCTCAGTGGTGTGAATGTTTCCTGTAAGCTGACGTGCATCTTGTGTGATGGCCAGGAGCCTCTTTCTCAGCGAGCTCCCCATCAAACAGGAAAAGTCTGTATGCAGTGAATCATTCTGCTATTCCATCCTAGTTTCTTCCCTGTCTGGCTGAATCTATCAAGGGGAGCAAACCAAATACTCATATAGAATATTCCCAACTTCCTGAAAGGCCTGTAATTTGTAGGGAGTGGTATTTGTGTACTCTTCTGTCACAATGCAACTATTGTTTAGTAGTTTTTATGTAGGAAAGAGGGGAGAATTGCCCTGGTTGACTTGGAAAACTAAGCTTATGCAGTCCTGCTGTCTGTACCTGCATCTTCTTTTGGTTGATCCCTTTCAGCCAAATCTGTCAAAGGAAGGCAGGCTTTGGAGATGTGAATTTGTCAAGTTTTGTGTACAATTACATCTAGGTGGAAGAGTTTGTGGTGAGGGGGTATTCATACATAATTGTCCGAGCTATAGGGTACTGTTCAGCTTCCGTCACGGAAACAGCAGTAGTGTATACCATCTGTTTATTCAACATGTGCATTCCTCCAAACTAGGCATGGAAATACGTTTTGTTTTGTCCAGACAGTAGGTCAACCAAGGGTGAAGGAGGAGACAAGGAGAGAGCTTGGAGGTATTGTAATAGGAAAAGCTGAAGAGACTCACTAGTGCAGGCACCATTTTTGGTGAATCTTCAGCCTGTGTTGTTTAAACGCTTTAAAATATTTAAATAAATGTTTTAAACATTTTTAAAACACTTAAAAACTTGAGTACCACAGAAGCTAGACTGCCAGGAAGATAGATAGTGTGTCAGTATGCCCTCATATTTTAATTGTTTAATTCCTTTCATGCTAAGTTCTGAGAAACCTGGTAAAGAATTTGTGGATGCTTCTGTTATGTTACCTGATAGTAGTTGGGTGTATAAGGCTTGAAGAGATACAGATCTGCATTTCTCTTTCCAGAAGAACTAACGTTTTTAGGTTTGGCTTTCAGGCAGTTAGAAATCAGTACAACTCCATCTTGTGCTTTCCTGGTTCCTGAGTAGGTTAAGTTAGTATAGAATTATATGTGCAGTGCTAGTGAATTAGGCTTCTGACCAGTTTGCAATGTTTTCTGATCTGCTTAGGTCATATTCAGTATTCCATCTATTTTTTATATTTTGCTAGAAGACATTTCCCTTAGATTCCATAACATGCCCCACTTGAGATTAGTATGCTAAAAATTGCATCTTGAATGGAAACTTGCTAAAACTGCAAATTGAAAATAAAAAACACTGGTGCTGGAAACTAACTCTTTCAGGAGGCAATCTGATAGTAGCATGAACCTGGAAAATGTTAGAGCCTTAATTAATTGGTTGCTGTTTTGAGGTATGTGCTACCCTTTTTTGTGTAGTGGGTGCTGGAGCGATTTAGAGATGTCACCACTTGCTCAGTCAAAAATAATTCCCAGTGAATTTTTCGTCTCAGTCCTGTTAAGGTTTTTCTGTGTAACAGTCTTCATCTGATAGCATGGACAGATGTTTAGTGCTGTGGTAAAAATGGTTCTGTAGGCACTGCTATTCTCAGATTTACAGGTTTCAAATAGGATACGGTCTGAAGCAACCGATGTCTTTTGGATTTCCAGATGACGTGTTGTATGGGTTGGCATTATTTCTTAAAAATCTGACCCTTTTTTAAAAATTATTTTAGATTTGTTTCTTTCCTGAACTGATCCAGATTGCTTTTCCTTTCTACCTCCTCCACTTGTTGTATTCTATAGACTCTGTGAAGTCCAGGCATGTTTATATTTTTTAAGGAATCCCAGAATGTTTCTCTTGACTTGAATTTCTAATACTTTTTTTTTCCCCCCTTAAAGAGCAACTCCCCAGATGTGTTGTTTCTTCTAAAATGCATGCCTGGAGAATCCTCCTCTTATGCTGTTCCAGATTCTATTCTACTGTCCTGTAACTGCCTTGGGATGTTCCTTTCTGTCAGTGGCTGTGTCCCTAAGAGTGTAGTTGTTCAGGTGCCAGCTGGCGGTCTTTAGGGTCTTCCACTTGAATGGACACTTAGGCAGATTTTTAACTGTCCTCCACTGATGTTAAAAGTGTGGGTCCCCGTTTTGAAAAGACTGAACTGTTTTCACAGTCTTGTATTGTGAACAAAATAGTTGCCCTGCCCAATAATGAAGCAGTATTAATAATATTGCTTGTTACCTATTTTTGAGTATTTTTAACTAGACATTTTTGTGGGTTTTGGTTTTGCTTGTTTTTTCAAAAGATCTATATAATCAATAAAAGCAGTGGGACCGGAAATGGTATTTATAGATGAGATCTTGGTAATTTCTCTTTTTAAACTTGTACTGTTCCTGTGAATAGTATGTAACGATTACTAGAATGTGATAGAAATGCATCATTATAAAAGTATCTTTACATAAATACTTTGTGTTCATTGTGAAGTATAAAATGTTTGAAAGTTAACCTTTACTAAAGTGAACTAAACCTTACATTTTACTCTTTGCTTTCAAACAGCCCTGAAAAACCAGAAAGTGTGAAAATAAATGTGGAAGATTCACCTGTTGTGAAATATGTGGATGCCGAAACATCTTTATAGAACTGAAGCAAGGGGAATTACCTGTATTTGTGTGTGTGTATATATCACTGCAGGATATTATACCATTGAAGTGTGATTTCCAATTTAAAGAGCAACATGTATTTAATTCTGCCATTGTTTAGGGCACTGTAGATATGCTTGCATAATGAGAAGATTTTCCTACAAATAAGATGAATGGTAATTCACACTTCAGCTATTTATTTTATTGGAAATTTTATTTTCATTTTTAAATAGGAAGATTGTAATGAATGCGTATTATTTTCAATAATCAATATGTGCATAAAAGTTAAATCAGCGTTTGCTGACAATTACTGGTCCACATTGCTTAAAATTTTACCTCTGTTTATAATGTGCGCTACAGAAGTTTGTTTTCCATGCAGGCAGTTACTGCTTGTTTTTGCAGGGTATACTTTTTTTTGTGATTTCATAGAACAAATATTAATGTGCTGTTGACAAGAACTACTGTGTTTTATGTCTCCACTACATGGTAGTGTTTCCTGGATTCTGTCTCTCCTATTTTATGGAAGTGGCCTAGAGCCCTAAGTCAGGTAGTTAGTTAATCTTTAAAATATATATAAATACCCTGTTCTGCTACTTTTTTTTTTTAAATTCAGTCTTGATTTTTCATTGTTATCCAGTAGCAGTATGAGTGCAGTAATTGTAGTTACAGTCCCAAGTCAGTATTTGTCATTCTGGACACTCCATGTTTACACAATATAAATTGGATTTACAGACAGCAATTTGGTCTATAGGAAGTTATACACACTTACCACACTAGTACTTTTGAATTCTTTTGTTTCTGTTTTTACTTACATTTTCCTATCGACTTTCAGAGTCTGCTTTACTCAGCTTTAAGACTGAAACTTTAGAGTATCTCATGTCCTCATCAAATATATTTCCTACTTAATTAATTTTTAAATTCACTGTGTATTTGATTAAATTAGCTGTAGTTAAACTCTGTAATAGTTTTATGATCAGTATTATTTTATGGATTACAGATTGCTTGTGGTATTTGTGTGTACAGTTCTGATCCTCTCCATTGTAAAGGGCATATATGATAGCACACCAACTTATTTTAAAACATTTTATTTATTTTAATTAGTATAAATTTTTATCATGTAAGATGAATGAAAAAAGTAAATATTCATTTATTAAAGTAAATGGGATTTTGGGGGGGCTCACTGATAAAGATGCAGTCAGTGCATTTATTGTATTTACATTTTCAAGTTCTAGTGTTTAGCATTATAATTGAAATAAGGAGAATTTTATATATAAATGAAAGTCTTGATCACTTACTTGCGCAGTTTCCATTTTTCTTTTCTTTTCTTTTCTTTCCCTTATGCCTTAGTTTTTTGGCTTTAATTTCTGAAACGATCTCTTCACGTTCTGAATTGCTACCAGCCCTTTCTGGATGTATTACAGTGGCTTTAATTAGAACCTGTGCTCATTTAAAATTAGAAGATGCTGTTAGCTTAATTCTGCTTTTGGCAAAGTTGAGCATTTTACCATGGACCACGTGGTAAAATTCTCAACAACTGCAAAAGGAGCTGATTCTGGAGGAGGGCAGAGTTCATCTGAAAATACCACTTGGGGTGGAATTCTGGTGCTGTTCAGCCAAGTGTCACTTGGAGAGAAGATAATTGTGTATTACAAAATAAAGCAATCGGTGGGAATAAATAAAAACATTTAAAAATAGCATTTAAGTTACATGGACTGTTACCGTTCCCTTTAAATGCAATGTAATTAAATAGTGTTTGAGTTTTTTTTTCTTTTTTCATTTGGCTGAATTCCAAGAAGACAGTTTAAAGAAAGTAAATCATAGTGTACAGCAATATGAATAATGCTATCCAAACTGTCATAACAAAGGCTCAGGTCAGTGGCAAAGCAAGTGAGGTCTACATTACCAATTTGACTGTGTAATGACCTGTATTACACGTTCCTTTATTCTTAGATAATAGTGTAGCTTGTGCCTTAGCTTGAGTATGTGCTCTTTCAGAAAATACCCATATTTTCCCTCTAGTCAAACTGACATACAGTGAAACTATAGCAGATGGTTTCCCAAAACTTTCTGTACTATTAAAAAAAAAAAAAAAAGTACACATCTACATGTCAGTTGTTGACTACTAAGTAGCTCTTGCTTACTCAAGGAGGGAAGATATTTTGGGCAGTTTACATAGCGTTATTCACAATACATTACTTTTGTACCAGTCCTCCCAGTAGTATTTTATACTTCATATTCACAGTCCTACAACAATTTCCAAAGACCCAAAAAATTATAAGCTTTTAAACTCTGTAATTCTGGAAATCAGGGTTCCCTGGTGCTGCACATCTTGTATCCGGCTTCTACTTCAGAAGGTTTAAGTTTTGGTCAATATTACAGGAAGTGGGTATTTTTCTTGTAAAGTCAAAAGGAAACAAAACCAAAGCCCCACAAGTCTAATCACAGTATTTATTTAAATTATGTAGATGTTTTAATCGGTGCCAGAAATAACATGACTTGCAAAGCAGTTTACAGTGACCTTTAGTTCCAGTGTTCTTGGTCAGTAGCGTGTTATGCTTGCACTTTTTTCCCCATATGAATAGAAGAAGGTTTGATATTAAGTTCATAAAACCCCATTGATAATCTATGGCTAAGTGATTCACTGCTCATTTTACACCTTCTCTGCTTTGGAATGACACATAGTATTAAACAGCTAAAGATGTAATTTACTGTATGTAGATAGACTTTTTGCCTTAACATGCAAAAGAGCAGTGATAATTGCTGTGCAGTGATTTTTTTTTTTTTTTTTTTTCAATAGGGGTTAAGCCCTGTAAAAACTACACCAATGTATTTCCATTCCAACAGTTAAAGGAAAATAAACAGCCCTGCACTTTTTTTTTAGATGCCTTAGTTTCCCGGAATGGAGCTTAGTGCTACTGTGTATCTGGCTGCAGAGCCACCTCAGGAAGTCCCTCTTTTTTCTTTTTTTTATTTCTTTTCTTTTTCTAATTTATTTATAAATATGAATGTTTACATAAAGTGTAGGTCTTAATTTTGACCACTCCATTTAAATTATCGTCTAAAATATTTCACTAAAAATGCAGTCTCGTGTTTAAATTTTATTCTACAAAACTCATTCTTAGAGTATTTTCATATGTATTACAACAACACACTTTTCAGTCTGTTTACATATGCCCAAGTTAATTATACTTTCTTCCTAGATTAATTTTGCAGCTGTAACATAAGGTTATTCAGTGAAATGTTCCAAATTGCCAAGTTTTGTCATCATAAAACCTGTTAGGGTAGAATTTGGTGCCCTAGTGGAGGTTTTTTAACCAAATGTCTTGGCCATTTTTTCTATGCTTAATGAAAGTTCTCCCATAACTTAAATGTTTGCTTCACCTGCATCTCTGTCTTTCTATGGTAGCTTCCTAATTTTGTGCCCTTTGCAAAGGCAGGTTTGACAGGCTGTAAAATATATCCGTAACAAATAGGTGTCACGTCACAGAGCCTGCGCCATTTTAAAGGGTTGTCTTGTACATATGTTCTGTAAATCATAAGGTAAATGGTTCATGATTTTCAGTTCACAAATGTAGTCTGTTAGATGAACACCACAATGATTTTAGTTCTCTTTTTGCTTCATGTGATTAGTAATGTTTTAATTACTCATCTAGGTCAAATTCATTATCAAGTGCAGTACAAATGTGTGAAATACTTTGTTTATGCCAACAGTAATTTATTTTATGGCAAATTTTAAGACTAGAGGCACACAGCGTAAAAGTGCTATAAATCAAATTGGTTAGTAATTTTAAGTCGGTTTTATTTTGTAACATTTTTAGTGAAAACTTATAGGACTTCTTAGTTGGCATTGAAGTTAATCTAAAGACACTTTCATATTGAATTTAGTATCTGTTGATGTTTATTTGGAATAATGAATGAGTTTGAAAATCAATAGTTTTTAAAATGATTTTATTGGCAAGACACATCATTTATAATATTTTTCTTTCTACTATTGCTGATACTCCTGTGCAAAGGTGTCTTCCAGGGTTCAGCATCTCCAGCTGAACTACAATTTTGATTTTAATACTGATTATTTGAAATGTGATTACATACTGTACGGTTCGAATTTTTTATGACTGCTTTTCTAATTACAGTGATGTTTTCTTACTTTATAACAAAATCCAAAGCAGATGAAAACATTATTCCAAATGTAGAATCCATATTCAGTTTATACCGAAAACACGACTTTCAGACTTGTCTTTAATGTGAAAGATCCAGCCTTTGTTGTTTTAATTACTGCTAGAATAAAATTATCTTTTGTAACGTTTCAGAAAGTTGGTAAAAGCAATAAAAAAGTAAATCTACTGAACTATATTACGGCTTTTTCCTCTTTCTGTTGCACGCAGGCGGGGAGGCGGTGTGTGCTGCGGCGGGACCCTGCGGCCCTCCCTGGGCCCTGGCGTCCCCCTGCCCATGGCAACGGCCGCCGGCGTCGGCGGGCGCTAGGGTGACCCAGCGGCCCCGAAGACGTCGG